ATTATTCTCAGACCAGATACAACCAGTATGTGACAATACCTCATGCTATGTAGCAAGAATCCCTACATTACTTTGCAATGGAATTTTTCCACAATGTATTTTATTACAATACAAATGACATGTACTGCCTTTAGTTCTATGAAGCACAAAGCAAAATAAATTGAATGGTGTTCTCATAAAAAGAGGGGTTAAAGAACAGATGAAGACTAAGGAAATTGAGAGTCAGTTTTCAGATCAAGCCTGATATATCATAGGTACCCTCAGGAAACGTCTTTGCATCTTAGCTCTCCATTACTGAAAACGGGTAACTTAACATTGACTTCCAAGGAACCAGAATCTACCAACACAGATGGAAGCACCTATGAGCCAATATGCTCAGAAATTATTGCTATGAACTCCACCTAACAAAACATAACTGTAAACTTTTCCACAGACACTAGCTAACTTGCTTTCTATTGCAATTTCAAATTATTTGGACTGCCCACAGAAACAAGGTCAAGTATTCTATTCAGATTAGAATGTCAATGGATACATGCACACACACTTACTCCTCTTCTGAGGCAAAGGATTATTCCAGAAAAACAGAACACTTGCAACTATTTTGCTTGGCACAACAAAGACAGTTGGAATGGAGGGAGCTAAAAGGTAACTGCTAGAAATACATTAACAGCAAAAGTTCCTAGTGCCCCAGTGAAAGAGGGCATATAGGCATTCGTGTCAATTAATATGATGTAGTTTACGAATTTAAGTACTTATTTTAGCCTTGCAAACATTACAAGTGTACTTTCCTCACATGCAGTTTCACTCAAGTGCTTAAAATATGCTTAAATGTTTGGGATTTTTTAAGGTAAACTTAGCACAGTTTTACAGTTTATTTGCTGGAACTTCAAATTTAAATACAGCATAAAGAATCAGAAGAATGAAAACCGGACAATTATAATAAACAAAGAGGGCTGAAGATTATACAAGAGGGAGACACCTAACTAGAAGTATGAAACTTTTTTTGTCATGAGCAATTTTCTGACATCTTTATGTGACTACTCTCAGATGCGTGCTCTGCTCTAGGTAGTCAGATCCAATAACAATTAACATGTGTAACAGAATACACCTACACCTGGGTCAGAGCAATCCCAGGCATAGCTATAGGTTGAGCAGAGAACAGATTCAGAGCAGCCCTGTGGAGAAGGACTTGAGGGTGCTGGTCGATGAGAAAATGAACATGAGCCGGCTTCAGTGTGCACTTGCAGGCCAGAACAGCAACCGTATCATAGGCTCATAGAATCACAGAATAGTTAAGGTTGGAAAGGACCTTAAGATCATCTAGTTCCAACACCCTGCCATGGGCAGGGACTCCTCACACTAAACCATGTCACCCAAGGCTCTGTCCAACCTGGCCTTGAACACCACCAGGGATGAAGCATTCACAGCCTCCCTGGGCAACCCATTCCAGTACCTCACCACCCTCACAGTAAAGAACTTCTTCTGTATATCCAACCTAAACTTCCCCTGCTTAAGTTTTAACCCGTTACCCCTTGTCCTATCACTACAGTCCCTAATGAAGAGTCCATCCCCAGCATCCTTATAGGCCCCCTTCAGATACTGGAAGGTTGCTATGAGGTCTCCACACAGCCTTCTCTTCTCCAGACTGAACAGCCCCAACTTTCTCAGCCTGTCTTCATACGGGAGATGTTCCAGTCCCCTGATCGTCCTCGTGCCCCTCCTCTGGACTTGTTCCAACAGTTCCATGTCCTTTTTATGTTGAAGACACCAGAACTGCACACAATACTCCAAGTGAGGTCTCATGAGAGTAGAGGGGCAGGATCACCTCCTTCGACCTGCTGGTCACGCTCCTTTTGATGCAGCCCAGGATATGGTTGGCTTTCTGGGCTGCGAGCACACACTGAAGCCAGCTCATGTTCATTTCCTCATCAACCAACATCCCCAAGTCCTTCTCGGCAGGGCTGCTCTGAATCTCTTCTCTGCCCAACCTGTAGCTGTGCCTGGGATTGCTCTGACCCAGGTGTAGGACCTTGCACCTGGCATGGTTAAACTTCATGAGGCTGGCATCAGTCCACCTCACAAGTGTGTCAAGGTCTCTCTGGATGGCATTCCTTCCCTCCAGGGTATCAACCGAACCACACAGCTTGGTGTCATCGGCAAACTTGCTGAGGGCGCACTCAATCCCACTGTCCATGTCAGTGACAGACTTTGAAAACGACCGGTCCCAACACCAATCCATGAGGGACACCACTCATTACTGGTCTCCAGCCGGACATTGAGCCATTGACCACAACTCTTTGCATGCGGCCATCCAGCCAGTTCTTTATCCACTGAGTGGTCCATCCATCAAATTGATATCGCTCCAATTTAGAGACAAGGATGTCGTGTGGGACAGTGTCAAACGCTTTGCACAAGTCCAGGTAGATGACATCAACTGCTCTACCACTGTCCATCAGTTCTGTAGCCCCATCACAGAAGGCCACCAAATTGGTCAGGCAGGATTTCCCCTTAGTGAAGCCATGCTGGCTGTCACCAAGCACCTTGTTGTTTTTCATGTGCCTTAGCATGCCTTCCAGCAGAACCTGCTCCAAGATTTTGCCAGGCACAGAGGTGAGACTGACTGGTCTGTAATTCCCTGGCTCATCCATTTTCCCCTTCTTGAAAATGGGGGTTGTATTTCCCTTTTCCCAGTCGTTGGGAACTTCACCTGACTGCCATGATTTTTCAAATATGATGGCCAGTGGCTTCGCAACTTCATTTGCCAGCTCCTTCAGGACCCGTGGATGGATTTCATCGGGTTCCATGGACTTGTGCACGTTCAGATTCTTAAGATGGTCTTGAACCAGTTCCTCTCCTACAGTGGGCCCAAGGTCTTCATTCTCACAGTCCCTGCATCTGCCTTCCAAGACTTGGGTGGTTTGGTCAGAGCCTTTGCCAGTGAAGACCGAGGCAAAGAAGTCATTCAGAACCTCAGTCTTCTCCAAATCCTGTGTAGCCAGTTCTCCTGAGAGCTTCCAGAGGGGGCCTACGTTGTCCCTCATCTTTTATTTGCTACGTACCTGTAGAATCCCTTCATGTTATCCTTAACATCCCTAGCCAAGTTTAATTCTAACTGGGCCTTAGCTTTCCTAACTTGGTCCCTAGCTTCCCAGACAACATCCCTGTACTCTTCCCATGCCACCTGTCCTTGCTTCCACCTTTTATAAGCCTCTTTTTTTCATTTGAATTTTCCTCAGGAGCTCCTTATCCATCCAAGGAGGTCTCCTGGCCCTCCTGCTGCACTTCCTTCTAGTTGGGATGCAGCACTCCTGAGCTTCTAGCAGGTGATCTTTGAATATCAACCAACGGTCTTGGGCCCCCCTGCCCTCTAGAGCTATATCCCACGGAACCTTACTAAGCAGGTTCCTGAAGAGGCCGAAGTCTGCTCTTTTGAAGTCCAGGGCAGTGAGCTTGCTGCATGCTCTTCTCACTGTCCTGAGGATCTCGAATTTGACCATCTCGCAATCGCTGCATACAAGGCTGCCCTGCAGCATCACATTTCCAATGAGCCTTTCCCTGTTGGTGAGCACGAGGTCAAGCATGGCACCTCTACTTGTCGGTATTCTGGGCTGCATCAAAAGGAGCGTGACCAGCAGGTCGAAGGAGGTGATCCTGCCCCTCTACTCTCGTGAGACCTCACTTGGAGTATTGTGTGCAGTTCGGGTGTCCTCAACATAAAAAGGATATGGAACTGTTGGAACAAGTCCAGAGAAGGGCCACGAGGATGATCAGGGGACTGGAGCTCCTCCCGTATGAAGATAGGCTGAGGAAGTTGTGGCTGTTCAGTCTGGGGAAGAGAAGGCTGCGTGGAGACCTCATAGCAACCTTCCAGTATCTGAAGGGGGCCTATAAGGATGCTGGGGATGGACTCTTCATTAGGGACTGTAGTGATAGGACAAGGGGTCATGGGTTAAAACTCAAGCAGGGGAAGTTTAGATTGGATATAAGGAAGAAGTTCTTTACTGTGAGGGTGGTGAGGTACTGGAATGGGTTGCCTAGGGAAGTTGTGAATGCTCCATCCCTGGTGGTGTTCAAGGCCAGGCTGGACAGAGCCTTGGGTGACATGGTTTAGTGTGAGGTATCCCTGCCCATGGCAGGGGGTTGGAACTTTATGATCTTATGGTCCTTTTCAACCCTAACTATTCTATGATTCTAATAATGATTCTGCCCTTAGCAAACTGGGTTTGGGGAGGAGTGGGGTGATCGGCTAGAAAAATATTCCACAGAACGGCACCTAACATTAAGCTTACTAAACAGAAAGTCACTGATCAGAAAATTATTAAATTTGAAGGGTGTTGAGATTACTTGTATTTCCACTCCACCGGTTTGAGCCTATTAAGGGTAAATAAATGCTCAAGCAGTAACATGCATGGCTCCATCCAACAGTAAATCAATAGTGAAAAACTCAGAAACTTGAAGTCAGAAACCTGTATCTTTAAATCACTCTATAGACTGAGAATTATTAGTTACAATACTAAAGATGGCTCAATCTGCCTAGGTAGGACCAGTTCGACGCAAACATTTCTATCTCTAAGTTAGAACAGATAAGGATTTATACCCTGTAGCCGAGACCCATTCATATACACTGCTCAGTTCCCAGGATTTTCACTGACCACACCCTCCGCACGACTGTAGCTGACTGCAGCTACCATCAGCTGCTGCTGCTTCAACTGGGCCGCGCTGTGCTCTCACAGCTCCCTCACTGTTAGAGATGTTTAAATGTGGCCGTCCTTGGCGACTCTCCCTCAAATAAGCCCCACGTAAAAAGGCCGAGTCAGTGCGTGGCCTTTCCCACCCTACCGACCGACGCCAGGCCGTGGGGAGGTGGGCCGGGCGCCGAGGCCCCGGCCCCACACCGGTCCGTGCTGTTCACGGCCGCACCAGCCCCCGGGCGCGCGCACCACGGCGGCCCTGTGCTCCCCCCCCCCCTCCCGGCGAGGGCGGGCAACCGCGCGCACCTCCCGCCGGCACGGGCCGGGACGGGGGCGGGAAGGGGCGGCCCGGAGCCGCCGAGCGCGGCAAGGTGTGTCCCAGGTGCCAGCGCTATATCAGGCGACGCGGTGGGGCAGCTCCCCGATGGCGGCGTCCGCCATGGCTGAGCCGCGCTCTAAGCGGCCCCGCGTGACGCTGCCCGCCTGTCAGGCGCACCGCGCGCTGCCCGGCAGCCGCGTGAGGCAGAGCTTCCCGCCCGCCGTGGAGGAAGGCCTCTGCGGCGTCACCGGCGCCCTGCTGGAGCTCGCTTACTGCCTACAGGCGCTGGTAAGGCGGCGGGACAGGGCCCGCATCGGGACCGGGCGAGGATGTCCCGAGAGGCGGGAGAGGTTGCAGCGTGGCTCCCCCCGCGCCCTGCCCGAGCAGCCGCCGGGCGGTGGGGTAACAAGGTGCCCGGGGCCTGGAGCAGGTCCCGCCGGCGCTGTCGGGGGTTAAGGGGGGTTTCGAAGCTGGGCAGGTATGGAAGAGTGGTTCTGCTTCATGAAGTGACCCAGCGGGATGTGGGGGCGCTTTTCGCACCCAGACCCGGCAGCGCAGCAAGCGCTGCTGTCGGAGTCGGCTCCTGATGGTCGCTGCTACTGCTGCGCTTATCCAGGTGCAGCCCCTGACGCGACTAGTGGAACGACAGCGAAAGTCCGGAACTAGCGGGTGATGAAGCAGGCACTTGTGTTATGCCTGTGAAAAGAGGGACTGTTACAGGGAACACTAACAAATCTGGACTATTAACTTCTCAGAGTTTGTGGGTTTTTTTCTCCAAACCTTGTATGTAAAATAGCTGTGTGTGGTTAACGGGTGAAGTTTGCAAACATCACTGTTTTGCTCCACATGCAGGAATGCTGGACATGAATTAAAAAAGTTATCAAAGTTATCTCTGATACCATGTAACATGCATGCCAAAATTGTGTCTGATTACATATCGAATATTAAGGCAACATGTATTTTAACAAAGCAATTAAGATTGTAAACAAAATTATCAATGCTATCCCTTCTGATGCCAAGCATCCACTGAGAAGCAATACAAACTATATTCAGTATATCCCCAAGATCTCTCGATCAAGCATGGTGTCAACTATTAGTCCACTAAAAATGTAAGTATGCAGTAAAACCTCCACTTGTTAAGCATGTGGATTAGAATGATACTAGTGATTGGCAGCTTGGTGGGATAAGGAAAGCTCAATTAGATATTGACTGTGGATGCATCAAACCTAGAAATGTGAACATATTAAACAGTTAATGATTTACATAAAAGATTTACCTTAACAGTTAAGCAGGTGTGGTAACTTGTGCTCTGCTTGAAGTCACACAGCACTCTTGCACTGAGGAACTGGTTATAAAACACTGAATCTTGACTCTGCTGTCAACAGAAACAAGAATGAGTGACTTCAGCAAAAGGATTATGCAAATACTTCAATGAATGTTCTTAATAAAAGATTCCAGTATGTGTTTTCTCTTGAATGGTTTTATGGTCACATGTGTATGTGTGTCACGGGTCTGGGGTATCCAGCTGGCCATAAAAATACAAGAGACAAACAAACTTGTACTGTGTATATAACTCTTCTGCATTTTTTCTAAACAGAGCAGCATAGATGAAACACAAGTATTTCGTATCTAAACAGTAATAGATGAAAGCAGGGAAAACAGTAAGCAGAAAGACTTAGGAAATGCATATATTTGTTCCCTCCCCTCGCAGGCAGGCTACAAGCCAACAGCTTGAGATGGAGTACTGCAACCCAGAGCATGTCCAGAAGACAAAAGCTGTGCTGCATTACATATGCATGTTTAGAGAAGCAGCAGATCAAGATACTAATTACCTCAGTTTGGTTCTTGGCATATTCCCAGCTGCTGCTTCTCATCTTTCTCAACATCAGAGCTGTACAGAGCCAGTGCTGAAGCCAGTATAACCTGGTGGCTCTCCTTTGCTGTCTGTCTCCATTAAGTTCTCTTTATGGACAGCACTACCATGGATAAAATTATTCTAATGTAAGAGCTGATAGATCTATTAGTATGATTAATATACTGCAGTGGTTAAAGGTGTTGCTTTCCCATACAGACCAGAACAAGGGCTGCAGCGTGTTTAGGGTTGTAGTACTTAAGCGTTCCTAGACATGTGCACACAGTACAGTTCAGCAGCAGTATTCTTTATTGTGGAATAACATTATCCATAACAAAGCTAATAAATAGATGCAAAGTTATGCTTTTTTATTTGCCTCATCTTTTTCATATCTTTGAAAGCAAACTTCAAACTTTTCACTGGAATGCTGACCTGAAGGGGTAAATTTGATGTTCTTTGTGTGACTCTGTTTAAAAAATATAAAAAGTAGCCAAACAAAAAGGCCACACAAAACCTTAAAACCTATCCCCAGCCACTCATAAATAAAATATTCTGTGGATCTCTGACTGCTGCTGAGACTTAACATCACTACTGCAGTTACCTGTCCAGTATTAAAGGGCAGGAGTTCCAGTAGAAGTATAGATTTTTTTTTTTCATTTAAGACCATAACTACTTCATTTATTGCAGAAATTTGGATTAGGTCTTCAAAGTGATTGTGCTGGTAGAACAGCTTCCATTGGAAGGCTCTCCCATGTTTTCATAAAGCCATGTTCTGCTGCAAGCGAGTCCCATCTCCAGCAAATCTTAATACTCATGTTTTGTGTGCTTAGAGTGAATATTTTGATCAGTCACATGTGGCTCTACCAAATGTTTCAAAGTTCTTCTTGCATCAAGCTCTGGAAGAAAGAAAAGCTGCAGAGGCTCTGATGAAGTATCAACAAGAAAGAGGTGGCCATTACTGTTCTAAAACCATTCAGGTGGGTACTAGCTGATAAGCTCTCCAGCAGTTGCAGACCTCAGTAATTATTCTAACTTCTTGCATTATATTGTTGGTACTTCAGATGTCTGCATTCATCCACTATTAGATTTCCAGATACAATTTCCTTGTTGTATTAGTGGTCATGGGTTTATTCTTGATTGTGATGCCTAGAAACTGTGAGACATACAGCCCTAACAATGTGGTTGCTTTCTAGCCCGGAAGAACAGTGGTCCCCTTTTTCTTTTATTCAGTTGCTATTTCCAGCATGCTGTAACGGTTTATGAGACTGAAACAGCCAACTTGTCTCCTTCACACTGGAATTAAACAGACAGAAGCCTAGAATCTATTAGCACCTAAGAAAGGTAGTAAGGAAGTAGGTAGGAGAAACATCCAGCTTGGGGCAGTAGTTGTCCTGCTGGAGCACAGCTCAAGATAAAATTTGACCTGGAGATCTGACTCAGGTTTGCACAGATACAAAGGAATAACTCAAAGCTATCAGGGGAAAAAAAAAAACCACCTTGCCTGTTAAAGACCAAGTGGCTGATTCTCCTCAACCAAATCAATATTCTGTAAATACTTAATACAGAATGCTCTTCATTGGCCTATTACAGCAGTTGTTAAACTTAAGAAAGTGAAAATAAAAAGGCCATCTTGAAAAACTTCTAAATATTCAGTTTCAATCAGGGAAGACTTTATAATGGCCTTACAGTATTTAACAGGTGCCTACAGGAAAAATGGGAAAGAACTCTTTATCAGGGAGTGTAATGACAGGATGAGGGGTAAGTTTTACACTGAAAAAAACTGATGTAGCAAAAAAAATAGATTAGATGTAACTCTTTATCAGGGAGTGTAATGACAGGATGAGGGGTAAGTTTTAAGCTGAAAAAGTGCATGGGTTCTGCCATTTCTGTATGTTTACAGCCATCCAACTCTGCAAAAAAAAACAACAGATGCTCCCAATTAGAAGGAGCTGTTGCAAAATCCTAGCCCATCTTGTTTATAGCACCAGGTAAGTTGCAGGAAACCATCAATGAATACAGTAAGATGAGCTGTTCTTCTAAATAAATGTAATTCTGTCTTTGTTTTTAGAAACCAAACTGTGAGTATGCAGTTGGTCTGATGAAGGCCCTGGAACTAGCAATGGTACAGTGGAAAACTATGGTACGGTATTTTGAAGAGCTTTATGCCCTGAGTATTGAAAATGCTGACCCTCATAGCGCAAGCACTATCAAGAAACAATTTATTGGGCCCAAAATCCGGAAGATCAAGCTGATGGGAGATCTGCTGACCAACGCTCGCAGGCTTGACTGTTCCCAGGATGGCAGGAATAGTCTTGGCGATTACTTTATGGACCGGTTGCAGGAAGAGTTCAGAACAGGCATAGAGCCCTCCCTGTCTCTGCAGCATTGTACAGGAGCTGCAGAGGGTCTGAAGCAACCCCTGAGAGAATCTTCCCAGCACAGAAATGGCACAGGGCCAATCTGTGCAACCATACACTGTGCTACCATGCTGCCACAGCGTAATGATGGGACAGGAGCAAAAGTGAAGCAGGGCAAGGAGGGCCTTTAATGCTGTGGCTGTTGCAGCTACAAGGCAGCTCCTAAGGCAGACCTGTATTGAGGGTGAGCTTGAGACCAGGACTCAGGAAACATGATGCTATATTGCCCCTCCTGCCTTACACTCTGTCCTCTGTCGAGTGACAGCTCAAAATCTATCCCATATCATTATTGTGTTTAAATGACAGCAAGGTTGCTAGTTACCTAGATTGTTTGCATAAATCACATTTTTATATATGTAATTCTTCCAAGAAGCTTTTAAACCTCTTTTCTATCTTAAATGATTAGTTAGTGAAAATTATTTCTAACAGTATATATAACTTTTATTAAAAATAAAAAAGCAACTTTAGTATATGGAAACTTCTATGTGGCATAAAATCCAAAGATTTAATTTTATAATATTAAGTATTTTATATTACTGACATATTTTACATTACTAACAAGTATACTAACAAAATTAAGTCTTTTGAAAAAGGCTGTTTTAAAACAAGGTTTTCTTATCTTAGTTCTATAATTGTAGCTATTTAAATGAGTAGTCTTAATTCATTTACTTATCACCCAGCTATTTCTAGTGGTGTACTTCTCCAGGATGAAGGATGCAAACATTTTCTTAACAGTGGGAGTAAGATAATGTGCTGGTATTCTCTACAGTTATTTGCCTGGTTGGCTTCTCTCATCCTCATAAAGCAGAGGAGAGACATTATGGGTTCTCATTAGATGTGATCTTTACACGTTCTCGTGCATATTTTGCAAGTGTCACTGAAGACACTAGCTCCAGGGCTCTGTTCAGACTTAATCTAGGGTGGATGTTTTAATTACCATATAGACCCCTCTTTCAGCTAGTTAAATTATAGTATGACATTACTGCTCTTTCTTGTATTTATCGTGGTACTCAGTAGAGGAGTAAGATCCTAGTGAAAATACAGCACAATTAACTAGAATTGCATCCTAGAGAGCGGCCAGTTTTGCATTTCAGTTAGGGCAGTGTTCAGTTAAGGAGGCTATTAGCACCACCACACCTACGGCCTTTGCTTTAGCCAGCTTGGGTAGAGTTCAGAGCTGTCCAGATTCCTTCTGTTCATCTCCTACAGGAGAGCCTCTCTGTACACTGGCTACCAAGGTCACCTAAGAAGAGCAACTGGTTAGATCAGCTGCCTGCAGCTAGCTTTTTCATCTCTGTATACATTACCTTTTACGTACCTAGAGTTTGCCTCAATGACAGATTGTCTCACACTTTTATGTAATACTGTGATACTTTTGTTATGCTTGACAATAAATTCAGTTCAGAAGTGGCAATTTGCATCTATACTCCAATCCTCAATTTACCACATAGGCATGCTAGTATTCTCTCCAAGAGAATTTTGCATGTGTACACAAAACTGCACCAATACGTTTCTCCTAAGAAAGTTGCACGAGATGGAAGACCACAGAATGACAATAAATGCCAGAAAACTGCATTAAGAACACTGTACAACAAAACATTTTCAGTAAACTGAATTTTATACACAGCTGCAGTTAAGTAGTGATTTCTGCATTATCCCACCTACTTTCTGTTGGTGTTTTAACGCAGGGCAGACAACAATGCAAATGTTTTCCCAGTCTTTCTCTTAATATGATTCAACCTTGGGAGTGGGGAGGGGATCACTTTAAAACAACCCCTGCATTTATCTGTAAAAATACTAGTGTGCCACAAGAACGGCTTGAAGCACTTTTAGCAACATGCTAGATTTGCCTGTATTAAGATGGCTGCTCTCTAATATAGCAGTGGTTTAAAAGATATTTCCATCTGGGCTAGATTCCATCATCCATCCTCATGCTGAGCATACCTTATTCAACAATTAGTTCCACTGACTGCAACTCAACATGAGTAAGAGCAATGGAATCCATCCCTCTCAGTATTAAAATACAGCTCACTAAGTATGAACAGAGCAAAGCTACTCGCTGACTTGCAAACTAGTGCCAGATAAACCCACTCTGAATACTCCAGAAGTAGGTAATGCATGGCCTACTTCTGCAACAGTCTTCTTTAGAGCTGGTGACCTTCTGAAATGGAGGTACAGCCTCCTCCATGGTTTCCAGCGCTGAAGACCTTTACCTTAAATGAATTCCAACATAACAAAGAGCCCAATATTTTGTTGTTTGTTTTTTTTTTAAGCAGGACTTGCTTCTTTTTTCCCTGAAATACTACCATGTCTGTTTCTCTTCTCATTATTCATCTTTCTAGCCATACATATCCACATATTCTCAGACTGCAGGTCTTTCTCTCTCCCTTTTCCAAAACACATTCTGGGCCCTCTGCCTGAAGAGACAATTCTGTTAATTTTACATAAGCTCACAGTCAGCTATTTTCCCAGTCTCTATCCCATGAAAAAGGAAAAAGAAATCAATCAGTTACTGTAGATAGCAAGCTCCTCTTGTCCACATGCTGCTTCTGCTGAGAGGGCACATATGCTCATGAATATAATCTGAAACTGTGTTAACAATACCTGTCTATTGCACATAGGATGAGTCTGTCCATGCTTCTCAGCACAGGAAGTACAACCTGTCCCTGCGTTCTCAGCTTCCTTTTCAATAGCACCCTGCAAAAAAAGGAGATGAAGGATGAATGTGGAACAGGTATAAGAGCAACAACTCTTAGAGAAAAGTTTAAAATTCTCTTTCTCTGCTTGTTCATATACACACTCTGTATCAGTACCTCCAAAGCAACACCCAAACCATTCACACACGCAGTCTGGGACAGCTCAGAATAGCAGCACTAGTGCCCTAAATACAGCATCCAAACTGGAAGCTACGGAGAGACTTTACTGGAGTTACGAGTTATAGCCACAGATGCTCCAAACAGGTATTACCAATAGCATAGTTCTAAATGCTTGCCACAAGCACTGCCTATGGGTGCCTAATCTCAGAGTGAGGAATGCACTTGCAGTCTCTATGTGGAGATCATGCTGTCCTTCATCCTCTCTACTATGACCACACAAAATTTAGCAGAGCACCTCAGGATCTGCTCTTTGCATGGACTTGTTTTTCAGTCCCCACCATACAAGGTAACATCTTTCTGGACAAACCCATCTTGTTAATAATACTGGAAAGTGAACGTCAGTTCTGGTCACAGCAGCAGAAAAGTAGTCCTCAAGGGCACCTCCACTGGAAGATCTCTCTGAGCAGAATTCACCATCTGGTCATGGCTTTCTCATGACTATTTCACTTAGATCAGTTCATGCACTTAAGCTCATTCATGGACAATTACTGGCAGTCTCCTTGTACTGCTTATCCAAGTCACACCATTTGCTACCACTATGCACACAAGCCCCAGAGTGACATTTCCTAGAGTCAAATATAACCTAGAAGCACACGGTGACAGAATATACTACAACACTAACCAAATATTAGGTAAAATTACCTTTTCCACAAATGAAACCAATGATGTAGAGAAAGTTTAAGTGTCTTGAGTGGGTCACACAGCCAGCACCAAGCCCTGATATCCCAATTTACAAGTTTAGTTGTTACAACTATTTCTCATTCATACTTATTATGCCTTATTGTATACCTACCACTATTTTTGAATATTATTTTTACTTTAAAAAAAAAACGCCAAAACCAACCCTAACAAACCAACCAACCAAACCAACCCAAAATCTGCTCATTCCTTCTGGATCAAAGAACTTCTGTAATAACAGTGAAGTGTTTCCACAAGTTTGCTACTCTGCCTCTTGGAAACAGCTGGGACATACACTTGTGAATGTATAAAAGTGGTCAATAGCTGATCTCCTTGGGACATACCACTTTTCAGCATTGGACACACTGAAAGAGTGAGTTTGTATAGAGTCTAAAACATATACCTTAAATAAAAATGTTATCTTTTGAGATAATGTCAGAATGTGACTAACAGTTGTTACCTTTAATTCTAGTCAAAGACATTTAAGTAGAAAATTGGGGCTGCAGATTAGGAACTTTTGCAAAAAACAAATCACATAACAACAAAAGAAGTCACCATAGCCCGTCTGAGAAGTCACAGGGACTGGGGATTAGATCATTGGTGGATGTCTTTTAGCTTTTCAGAACCTCTCAGCCAGCTCTTTGCCTTGCGGAAGGCTGAGCTTTGCTTTTGATTTTGACTGAGTTTCAATTTTACCAACAGCTGTAGCTGCAGAATAGAAATTAATTTTATCTTATGGTACATTAAAAACACCCATAACTATTTCAATCGTGAAGTCAATGAACTCACACACTTGAATTGCTGAAGTGCTTCGGTATTGGAAAAAGAATCGAATTCCTGATCTCAAAGCAGCACAACTACATGTGCAGCAAAATGCAACTTCACAAGGTGAAGTCTCTCTCTTCAAAGATTTTAGAATAAAGGTAAACAGACACTTGAGTTTAAAGAAGTACCTGAAATGCAAATTTATACATCATAGCTCATGTGAGTCATTTGCTGAAGTGATGGTTGAACGTAGCTCGGGCCTCAGCTCTCCTTCAGTACATCATTACTAAGCCATTACTACATTGCTTATCTGGAGGAATCAAATGCTTCCTGTGATAAATACGGCTGCAATTTGTTCAGGCATTAGCTGGTGTCTCAGCCACTCCAGATTTCAGCCTCCCACACAACCTGATTTTGCTCGGAGGTCAAACAGTTACAATTAACAGCGCTTGAGACCTGTTCCATCCTTAGTATGTATTTCTGAACTGTACCTGAGTCGCACGTGGGCAGGAACACCCTGATTCCCAAGACCCCAGGCACACACGCTTTTTTCTGCTGGGAATTACACACACACACACACACACACACACACACACACACACACACACACACACACACACACACACACACACACACACACACACACACACACACACACGCTCCGGCGGAGGGCAGAAAACCACGGCTCCAGAAAAGCTGCTCTCCGGGACGAGCGCGTTCACTTCCTCCCTCACCGCCCTCTTCCGGAGACCTGCCTGCCCCCTCCTCCACGGCCCCGCTCAGGGCGCGCAGGTGACGTCGGGGACGATCGGCCCAGGCGGCGAAGCGCGGCGGGCCGCTACCCCCACCTAGAGGCGGCCATGTCACGCCGCCACCTGCGGCCGAGCGCAGCGCCACCACGCGGCCACCATTTTGAAGGCGGTCGCCCGCCGGCTCCCCTCAGCCACGACGTTTCCCGCCCTGCCTCTCCCCTCACACCCTCTGCGACCGCCGCGCGGGAACGGCCCTGGCTCTCCGCGGCGTCCCTGACCCGGCGCCCAGGTGCCGCCCACACCGTTCGCCCTCACGAACGCCCCCGGAGTAGTTACCCTGTGGCCGCAGAGCCGCACGACAGGGGCCGGCGCCGAGAAACCCATCCCGGGGCTGGGGGCTTCTTCCCTGGGAGAAACCAGCGGAGCCGCCGCCGCCGCCCACCGGCCGGGACGTGCAGGGAGACGCGTTGCAAAACGTCTCACACCCGCCGGTGCGTGCGGGAAGAGCGGGAGCGCAGCCAGCCCCCGGGGCGCAGGGCTGGCGCCTGCCGGCACCTTCGGGCAGCGGCGAGCATGGCTTTCCCTGACGGGCTGCGCAGGGCAGGGCGGGCGGCTGAGAAGTGTGGGGGGGGAAGTAAAAAAGAAGAGAAAAAGACCCGTGCAGCCGAGCGCCGGCGGCTGCTGTAGTTAGCTCTGCAGTTAGCTCTGCAGCAGCCCCACCGCCCTCAGCAGCGGCCCGCGGTATTACCCGCAGCCGAGCGACACCGCTCGCTCGCCCCCCCCCCCGTCCAACGCTGCTCCAGCTGCTCCGATGGCCTCGGCCCCCTTCACTTCACGCCCCGCCCCGTCCCGTCCCGTCCCGACGCGCCTCGTCGGGGGGCGGAGGGGCTCTGGCATAAATGCGGCCTCGAGTGGCGCTCCCTGACCGGCGCGGTTGGGAAGGGGTTCGGCGGCAACAGCTGCTATTGCTGGTGGGTTCGCCTGGGAGAGGGTGTGAGGGTCTCCGCTCTGCAACACCCTCCTGGCCGGTGCCTGTCGCTGAACGCCCCGGTCGAAACCCCCTCTCTTCTGATCTCACTCCCCCCCACCCACCCTCCCCGGCACAGCCACTGTATCCGCCGCTGCCCCCATGGACTTACTGGGCCCTATGGAAATGACGGAGGGCTCCCTCTGCTCCTTCGCAGCCGCTGATGACTTCTATGATGACCCGTGCTTCAACACATCAGACATGCACTTCTTTGAGGACCTGGACCCCCGGCTGGTGCATGTGGGGGGTCTGCTGAAGCCCGAGGAGCACCCACACCACCACGGGCACCCACACGAGGAGGAGCACGTCCGGGCACCCAGTGGGCACCACCAGGCCGGCCGCTGCCTGCTATGGGCCTGCAAGGCTTGCAAGAGGAAGACCACTAATGCTGACCGCCGTAAGGCTGCCACTATGAGAGAGCGGCGGCGGCTCAGCAAGGTCAATGAGGCCTTTGAGACTCTGAAGCGTTGCACCTCCACCAACCCCAACCAGCGCCTGCCCAAGGTGGAGATCCTGCGCAACGCCATCCGCTACATTGAAAGCCTGCAGGCACTGCTGCGGGAGCAGGAGGATGCTTACTACCCGGTGCTGGAGCACTACAGTGGGGAATCGGATGCCTCCAGTCCCCGCTCCAACTGCTCTGATGGCATGGTGAGTGCCCTAGGGAGGACACACTGCCACCGAGGTGCCCCAGACACTGTCGGTCCAAACCTCTGCAGGGGGTGTTGCCTTTTCCCACTTTTCCTATAGCAGCTACTTTGCGTAGCTCTCCAGGCATAAGACAAAGTGCTTTTTCTCTTGTCTTGAGCTCCAGCAGCAAAGGGAGGTGGGGGTCCACACATACCAGGATCTCTGGGAAAGAATAAAAATGTCTTGCACACTTTTTTCCCTGGGAGGTCCCTCTGTGTCCTGGGGGAGCCGAAGGAGAGCTGCTGGGGGAGCACCGTGGGAAGCTGCCTGGGATGGGGACATGGGGAGCTACAGGAGCACAAGCAGGGCATCTCTGTTCCCATACTTTGCTTTGAATCCTCTAAAGACAGCAGAGAGGAAGGTCCCCTTGGTCGTGGTAGTTACAGGGGAACTGATAAGTGCTGGAGTTGTTTTCTGCCATTCATCATGATAACAGGAGGAGGGTGTAAACCAGCCAGAGTTGTTTTTCTTGACCCTTACAAAAAAAAAAAAAAAAGTTCTCTATTTCTCATCTCGCTTCATCCCCTCCATTGACATTTACCAGTAACAGGAAGGAGAGCCCAGGCTTTCAGTTACGTTTGTATGTTACGGGGAGGGAAGAGGAAGGGTGGGTGCCATATAAGGTGCCTCATCGCCACATCTTCTCGCTGCGACTATAGGCTCAGACTCTGGGGTGGTGGGATGTAGTGCCTGGAGTGCAGAAGAGCTTCTGAGGTAGAACATTGACAGCACTTTAAGACCTGAGATTTATTTTCTTTTTCTGTGCTCTGGTGGTGATCATCATTACTGAGTTGAATATCTCCCATTATGAGATAGTTGGCAGATTGGAGAGAACACTTATGGGTAGGATCCCTCTTCAAAATACAGCCTTTTTCTTTTGTCAGAAACAGAAATTTAACTGTGGATTAAAGTATTGGAAACAAATATATTGGTCAATGTTTTGATGCTTGTTCTGTATGAAATGGAAGTGGAAAAAGAAACTGAAGAAATATAAAGTGACAAAGGTAGACAGAGCCTTTTTAACTTATGCTTGGAAAAACCTTAAAAAAATTAAACGAAAAAAAGACTCATTCCCCATTTGGTCTCCCTGTTGTAAGTTGAAGATACCTGTAGGGCAGTATCTGATCAGAATGCAGGAAAACCTCATCTTATTTATAAAGCTACAGCATTTGATGCAACAGCAGTGGTAATTTTCCTACAGCTGTGCCATATTAAGTATTCTGGGGTGAATCCCCTTTTAGCCAAGTTTTGCCTATTCAGAAAAACTACAACTTGATGGCATTTAAGCCAGGACTGGAGTGATGGCACAGACTAGGGGCTGAAAGGCAAAATGGGATGGTTACTGGGATTTCAATACAGGCTGTCCCCAGGCAGTGACCTCACCCAGATTGCTCTCCTTTCCAGATGGAGTACAGCGGCCCTCCTTGCAACTCCCGCAGAAGAAACAGCTATGACAGCAGCTACTACACAGAATCACCAAATGGTGAGTACATGCTGTAACGGCTGCACAGAACATGGAGACAGGCAGTCAATGCATCCATGCTTTCTCTGCCTCCAGTCGTTTAGCTGACCTCCCCTGGGCTGAAAGAGGAAACTGTCTTTTTAGCCAGCAAGCTGTTGATGCTAGTAGAAGCATTGGATTTCCTCTAGATGTATTTGCAAATATGGGAGTATGTTATAGCTGCATTTCCTGTTTTGCAAATATAATATCTGGATGCAAGTATATTCTTCCCTGCAGTTAATTTTAAGTGTTTAACAATGTGTTGCATGAAGACTCTTCTAACTCTACCTATCATTGATCCAAACTGGAGAAATTGGCAATTGATTCCAAATGTTACCTTCCCTTTCTATGGACTTAAGTGAAGCCCTGGATCCATCCTGCCCCAAAAGTATCACTTCGGTTGGATCTTTCTTCCATTTTGCAGTTACCATCTCTTATTTTCTAATAACTGGTTTCCTTCCCCAATATTAATTTCCTCTGAATCTTTACATGGCCATAGATGCATACTGTCAGCCAGTCACTGGGGGTTTATGAAAGAACTACATCCTACTGATGTTAAGTACACATTGGATAAACTGAGCACCTTTTTTGCTTGTTTTTTTAGATCCAAAGCATGGGAAGAGTTCTGTTGTTTCCAGCCTTGATTGCCTCTCGAGCATTGTAGAGAGGATTTCCACAGATAACTCCACATGTCCTATACTGCCTCCAGTGGAAACTGTTGCTGAAGGGAGTCCCTGTTCCCCCCCAGAAGGAGCAAGCCTGAATGACAGCGGAGCCCAGATTCCTTCTCCCACCAACTGCACCCCACTTCCCCAGGATAACGGCAGCAGCAACCCTATCTACCAAGTGTTATAAAGGCAGGTCCAATGGACTGCGCCGAAAACGCATTGCTCCACTCAGCCACACTCCGTGACCTAAGACTGAAAAGACTGAAGACTTTTTCCAGTTTTAGAATACCACTCAAAATTCCTTCAAATATATAACTTTTCAAACCTATATTACTTCAAAATACACATATAGTTATTTATTGGTTGTTAAACAAAAGTTATTTAATATGTCTAGAGATGAAATTGTATACCATGAAATGGCCAATGTTTAATCTGGGCTTTGGGGAATAGGAATCTGGTTCTTGAATGTGGAGGAGAATATAACAGTAGTGGCATGACAGATCCTTCCTATTACTCCTCTTCTGGCCAAAATAAGGTTGTGGACCATTTTTTATAAAATTCTTTTGTATAATTGTAAATAAGAGTTGCTTTGCAAAAAAAAAAAAAAAGGGGGGGGGGGGAGGAAAAACAAAGCAAAAATGAAAAAAACGGGAAAAAATATTTAATATTGCTTGGTTTGTTGTGTCAAACTTTATATATTTATACAATGTGGTTGCCAAGAATGTTTCCAACAGTATTCTAAATAAAGACCCTTATTTATAAAATCTGTGGTGTTATCTTGACTTTCATTAGGGCTTCTGGAATTACTTGTGCATTTAGGAGTGATACTAAGATCACTGCCTTGGCAGGAAGAAGATATGAGCTCTGATTCAGCAAAGAAACCAGGAACATGCTTCAGTTGCACTACTTTCAGCTACTTTGCATAAATAAGTTGCTGAAAAGGGGTCTACTTTCTTCCTGTTATATCCTAGTGATTTGTAAACTGAGTCTTGCACATCACCTTAAGGAGATCTGTAAGGTAAATAAACACGTTTCTTTTTCTCCCCCCAGAGTTTGCAGTTACACTGTAGAACAATCTTACAAAGATGTGTTAGAACTAAGAATCACAATAAATTAGGCTCTCCAAATTCCAGTGCAGCTACCAAAACTTAAAGTCATACAACAGTATCTCACAAGACCAGGTACAACATTCTGGGACAAAAATTCAGATTTTTCACTGAAGTTCTAATTTTCAAGTGTTTTTACCACAATCGTATATTCTCAGGTATTCGAAACTAATTGCAAAGGATTTTTTTGTCATAAAGTTCAAGGGACAGATCAGAGTTTTCCTCAAGTTCAGGTTGGAATTTAGGCCAAAGATAGGCAGTTTTAATTTGGATTTGAACTTTACACATTGCTGGCAGCGCTACTCCAGGGATTTACTTCTTGTTTAGAGCCTCTCTAAAAATAACCAGTGGGCTATGTTTCATTCAGTGTATATGTGTAACCTTGCGAGCTTGCCATGAAACTGAAAAATGTTAAGCCCTGAGCAGAGTGTCATTGGTAAGTAACTATCAGGCATTTCTGTACATTTGGACAAGTTTAACCAGCAGTTACAGCCACAGTCAAGCAATCCATTTCTTGTCATATGCCTGCGATTTACGGCTTTGTTTAAACATCACAGTAAAAAACAAAAAAACCCACCAAAAAAAAAAAAAACCAAACAAACAAATAAAAAATAAAACCCACAACACCCTGAAAGCCAACTTTGCTATTGTCATCAGCTCTAAATATCTGATGACAGATCAGTCATTGTATTCTCTCTTAGGTGACTATTAAAGAAGGAATTTGTGCAGCTCTTACCTCTTAAGCAGGAAAAAGAAAGGGGGAACAGCTAATTCCATGGGAATGTCTCCCACTCCTTTAGTTGTGGGGGCCTTAAAGGTCAATGCCGCATGGAGAAGAGTGAGTGGCTTTGTGTCATGAGGAGAGCAACACTACACTTGTTTCTCCTTCCTCCTGAGGCAGAGGCATGTTCTGAGCCTGCTGTCTCATCCAAAGCCAGAGGGGCAGGGCAGGTAGCAGCCAGGGGGATTCAGTCCTCATCTGAGTTCTTGTGACCATGGTGGGTGGTGAGTCAGTGTCGAGGCACAAGTACACTCCGTGGAGCAGGCCAGGCTTCCATGGATTGGAGGGGACTCTGAGGCAGGAGTGGCCCCTCAACATCTTCATTGAAGTCCAACTTTCTAATGGTCTCCCATTGATTTCAGTGTGGGCAGAAAACAGTCCAGCCTATAAAGATCTAGCTTACCCCTTTCATTTTTTTCATTAAAAACAAAATTTAAATGAACTTAAGAATGTGTTAATTCATACTAGAATGAATCTGGAGGGTCTCTATTACAGTTTAAAAAATGCCCCAGGTTAGTTTGAAGCCTATATCACTAACTTACAAAAACTAAAGAGACACAGTTGCTTCACAAATCAGTATCTTGTACATCAACAGTAAACTTTTCACTGCCTCCAGCACACACTCAGGCCTACAATGTGAAAGATTAAAAGATGCTCTTGTGAAATACTACAGACCTTGCCATCCCCAGACTCTGGCTGTACCTGGCTGTAAAGCTGACACGGCAGAGTGGACATGGGGCGCTTGCACTCAACCATGTACATGCAGTTCTGTGTGAAGTCATGTATATTGCATTTCACTGATTTATTTTAGCAATCCAAGTTTCCACATACTGATGTTAATGTTACAACAGAGAACAAGCATTTAGCACATCCCAAAATAGATGGATGGATGAAGAAGAAAAAATATTCACAGATTTCCTATGCAGATCCCACCTTTTCCCCACTCATGTCAGTGAGAAAAGTCCGCTGGAGTAAGGCCAAAGAGCGTCTCTGCTGATAAATACACATTTAAGTTACAACTGTATTTATTTTTTAACTTAAATAACAAAAAAAATGTTCCCTGTGCAATTTCTTCCTGTCTATTTCTAAGGTAATATATTTAAAACAAATGCCTGGAGTTACTCTACTCCCCTGTGTATCAAGAGGACGGCATGTTACTGACAAAAGTATATCCCAGTCTGTGGGCAAATATTTCGAAATATTTTGGTTCAAAGCTTTAGTTTAATTCCAACAGTGGTAGAGAACATAAGCAGAGCTTAGGAACAGACACAAGACTGATACAACATTTGCAAACTTTGGTTCTTAAATTTGGCTCCTGAAGATGTGTTTAGGTATTTAGGGCTGGTCCTACAAGACAAACTGCAGTCCAGCTTGGTCTACAGAAGCACTGCAGCGTGAGCTACAAACATACACCAATAGCCTGAAATCATCAGTTTATACCACACAGGCTCTAGTTCAGTATTCTGCACCTAAAGACACACCACCTGATTTAAAAAAAAAAGTGAATCCCACAGATTGCACTGACATGCAGAGCCTGGGAGAAGCTGGGGGTTTCTGCAAACCAGACTGATCCTTTCCCAGAGCTGCCTTGGCAGGACAATACAGAGGCTGCCTCAGCATGGGCTTGGAGCTTTATACTAAGTGTTAGGATTGTCTGATGTTTCCTATGGAACACTACTTCCAAAGGGAATAGTCATACAGCTATGAGGAAAGAAAAAAAGAAAAGTAGCTGTCTTTGAGCATGAAGATAAGTGTGTATCTTAGGAATTTGGTTTGATTTTATTTGGTAACTTCAGAAAGCCCTACTGGGGCTGCATAACAAATCCAGTATCATCAGTTTATCTTATTCAAAGTATTGTTATGGAAAAAGTGAAGAGGAATAGATTTATACCTCACTTATATATGCTAAGTACTTTGATTTTAAATTTCAACAGGTCATTTGCAAATATGAGAATGAAGAGGAACCTTTCTTCACTTTCAGTATTTCACAACAAAAAAGTGCAAGTTGCTGTTTCTTAAAAATAACGTTATACACCATTTTCCACATTATCATTGAAGCTGTTACAGGATTTTTTCACATACTGAAACTTCAATTTTAGGTAAGAGAAACATAGGAACTAATCTTGGTATACTTTTTCCTCTTAAAATTTTTCACCCCTGTATCTAAATATATTGAAGATATTAAGCTGGCAGTTGCTTTGCACCAGATGCTGCTCTTTTATACACAAGATAAAAAAAAAAAACACTGAAAGGAAAAAGAAAAATAATTTCCATTTTACAGTTGGTATCTTGCAGAGACATTTGAAAGGGTCAAACTGTGCAAAGGGCTCATTTTGCTCATAAAAATGGTACTATCTGCAGAACTACATCCAAAAGTGGACAAGCAAGCATTTGTATTTAATACCACCTGAATGTTATAGAGAAGAAATTAATATTTCCCTTTTGTTTAACAATTTTTAATTTGTTCCTTGAAATCAGTGGCAAAACTTCCAACTTCAGTGGGAATAGTTTCAAGGTACTGCATGTAATACTGTCTGGGATAGCGTTCACGTAGCAGTGCAAATCCATGACAAACTCCTTGCTGTGCCCCTTTGCTTATGCTCTGCTCACTGACCCATTACTATCACAGCCTTTGGATATGCTGATCCCCTGAGCACAATGACTCTGAATAAGCTTGCAGGCTTTAGTGCTAACCTGATCTCAAAAATACAAACCAGGAACTATCCCCGTAATAACTCTGAAAGTGTACAACATTTCCAAGATACGTGTCTGACACGGAGCCTGTGGCAGGAGGAGATGGTATGAAGGTCATTGTGCATAACTTGCATATGGCAATCTTGGCTTTGCCAACAGTGGGTAAAATGGTCTTCTTACAGTCAGAGTGCAAATCTTTGACAACACGATCTACATTCAGTGTTTGTGAGTGGGGGATGGAGCTAATAGGCATACATGCGAAACGTCCCAGAGATCATCTCATGAGGCATACCGGAGTACCTCATTAAAACTATTTACTAATGCTTCTCAGCTTGCCCTCTCTCAGCCTTTCAAATCACTTGCTTTCCAGTAAAACTGTTGAACAGTCATGACTTTTTCTCCTTGATCTATGTAACATGCTCCCTTCTCAAAAGGTCTGTTGCACAACTGGGAATGTCATTAAGTGGAGACCAATGTGTCTCCTTTCAATGTTTGAGATTTCAGGGCTAATGAAGGAGAGGACAGTCCCTAGTATTATAGAAGAGCCTCCAGATAGTCCTTTCTCACCCAGGTCCCTCCAGGAATTGGGAACACGTCTGGCATAAAGCCATTTGGGCCAGTAGAAGGAACCCAGAATCTTCCCTGCCAGCCCAGAAATCTACCTTTCACCTACAGAGGCACTTGTGAATAAAGACCTTAAAATTGTAAGTTTAATAGTGAAAACTGATCTATCCTGTAACCAAAGGGCAATAGAAAACCTCCAGGTTTTCCCAGTAATACAGTCAGCATGGCATTGAACTCACATTTCCTTTCTAAAACCTCAATAAATTTTATCTTCTATATGCATCTTACAAGAGTGGTATTTTATGTAAGACTCAAAGAATAACCCCACATTCATCAATAGGGAAGCAAATACTGCATATGAGGTGAAGCTTTCCACTATTTATTAAAAAAAGATATTAAAAGCTCTGACAGACAATAATCCACTTAATGAGAAGATTGAGGAGACTGGAATTGTGGTTGGAGTGTTGTTTTTTTGCTTGGAGTCAGATTCACTCAGAGGTGTGTGTCTCAGCACAGTCACCTAGTGCTGCATGTCCGTGGTTGTAGAAGGGACAAGATCAAGGGACCAGATCTGGAGATGCTGACTAAAATCATGGAACTGCTGAAATCCTCTGAAAAACTGACCTCCCTAAATCAGTTGAACTGACCTTGAGACGGTTTTTTTGGTCCAACAGCAACATCTGCTGGATAAGACGAAAATTTCAGTTCTTTCTGAAATTCCTGGTGAATTCAATGTTTTGTATTTTCATCTTTCTATTATGGAAAATCTGTAGATGGGGAAACAGCAAAAATATTCACGGTCTTCAGGCAGCACCTAAAGCCCCATACACTAGGAACAGTAGGAAAAATATGAGGGAAAAGCCAAGCTCTTCCCCACCAAGAGCCTTTTACAGAAACAGATTGAAAATTGTAGGAATAGTATGGGATTTTTTTATTACTGCAAAAATTTGGGGGTACCACTTTATTTTTCTTTGCTTTAAGTAAAAAAGAAAGACAAAAGGTGAGAGAAAGTATAAGGTCTTTGAAGGCGTTGTATGACCTGTGCTGTGAGCAATGGTCCTAGGGGAGATGAGTTGCTTAGTAGAAGGCAGGTGGCACAGATGCAGAGGAACAGATGATGACAGTGGAACTATTATGCGATTCTCTGGTGGCCAAGTCCCTCAGTATGGTGTAAATCATCGTGGCATGCAAGGTAACCCCCACCTAGCATGCAGGTGTAGAAAGAATAAGCTGAGAAACAGTCTTGCATATTTGGCAAGACCATTTGGAGGCACACAAGGGAGAGGTAAGCAAGCATAGAGGCAATATACCTAAAGATTATCTACCTTATAGTTTGGCCATAAAACATTCCTTTCTTTCAAATTGATGCTGTACTTCTGAATCGTAAAACAAATGTACTTGACTGACTGAAAGACGAAACCTGGAGAACTTATTTTATCTGTGGCTTGGGATTCATGCCCTGTGAGGACAGAAGGATCCTCATGTTTCAGTAACAGCCACTGTGTGCAGAACTCTGTGGCTGACTGAGTGTGGGGCCAGGCCATGTTTTTCACTGACAATTCATCACATTTGGGAACAAATGTCCTGCAAGACCCATTAATGTAAATCATGGCCATTTTCTTACATGTGATTCGTTTTCAAGTCAGGGGTTTCTACTGTCACAGTGAGGCAGACTAGTACAATCCTGCCATTTTCAAGAGTTTATTTTTAGTCAGTTGCTTGCAGAAAAGAGTCCCTGGGCCTGTACTGGTAAAGCAATACCCCTTTGTTACAAATGTCTTTACTTGGTCTTATGCCACCTGTGGGTTTCCTGAAGCTGAAGCCTAGACAATCCATGTGCCTATGAAATCAAGAGGTACATTTTATTGCTACTCGCTGCAGTGTAAGTGGAAACTACATTATTGCAATCAATAAGCAATATGTATGGGGTTTTCTTTCCAGACCACTGGAGGGCAGCATAATTCCTTTAGTGTGTATGTATGGGTTGTTGGTTTCTTTTTTCCCTAAACTTTTATATCCATGCCTTCCTCCATTCAGGTACAGAGTATCATTTCACACCAAGACAACTGAAATGAAAGAGTTGAATTCCTACTTAGTGTAAATTCATCATTCTTATTGGCTGTTGACACAATATTGGTACAATTATCTGTTGGAATTAGCACAGCAAGTCCAAATTCCTGGCTTACAAAGATGTGCTTCTACATGAAAAATCCCACAGGCTTTTGTGCCTGTATAAGTTATACATTGCCTAAAGTGGGTTAGGATGAAGACTATCTTATAGTAAAGCATTATACAACAGTTAGTAGAGGGAGTACTGTTCATCAAACAGGGCACGTAATGCTCATATTACAGATACAATACCATAGAAACACAAATGTATGCAGGGAGGAACATGTCTTGTACTGGTCACTTCATTCCTTTTGGAGGAGAAGCACAGTATGTGCTGGGCACACATGCTTTGTGATCTCAAAGGCTGTCCTCTACAGAACTAGACACTTGAAGCAGCCTGCAGTTTAAAGCCAGCTGCACAAAATGTAGCCCCAAACATGCCTTTCAAAAGCTCCACAAATGCCAATTACATTAAACGATATGAGAAAAGCAACAAAGTAATGTGCCTAATTAACAAAGCTAGAGATAGGGCCAGCCATTTAGTTTGAAGTACTTCCAAGAGAGATGTTAAAGCCAATGGCCAGACCAGATCTGGAAGAAATAAATTAACATGCTGGGTTAATATTTCAAGCTCCGTGGCAGTAAAAAGTGCATGTGGTGAGGGGAATCAAAGGTAAAAAAATCGCAGGGTACTATTTTGTTTGTTTGTTTGCCAAGGACACTTCAGCTTTTGCCGTTTAATATTCTTCATGGTATGCTAGAAAATATGCAAGAAGTCATAAAAGTATCAGCATTGCATCACCGGATTTCCTAAATTTATCTTTTCCCCACCTGTTAAATCTTAGCTCAAGGTCAAGAGAAACCACTACTTTGAGTGAACGAATTATGGGGCAGACACATTCACAAAAATACACTAGCAGTTCTCTTTTATCTTTAGCACTATGAACAACCACAGCTTAAAGATTCCTCTCACCATAGGACGTCTCTGAGAAACAAGTTCTGGTAGCTTGTTCAGAGAATGCCCTGAACATGGCTTTTGTTCCACAACAGGTTTTTTGCCCTCATAGCTAAGAACTGAGTAGCTGTCTGGTTTCAAATCTTAGATACCTGTCATTGGTTTAGCTCAGGCCATCACAAACTCCCAAGTTCCAGCAAGTACTGTGGCTTGAATCTTTTCCAGTACTCATCTGCTGGCAACTGTTTCCATCTGCTCCTTCTTGAATGGTTCTGCTTAGTCCCTAGGGAAGAGCAGGAAGATTGTCAACGCACTGAACTTGCTTGTTGGGATCTGGCTGCTCATGTTTTACCTGAATCTGTCATTTCACCTTGTCTGCTCTGTGGCCTTTTTTTCTGCAGTAAGAATTCTGAGTGCTGCTGTGCATCAAAAAAAAAACCAAAACTCACTATTCCTCAGATGTGGATGATGAAATATTATTCCTTCTTTTAAGTACAAATAATTATTATTAAAAAGAGAGATGGAAAAGAATTATCTGTTCACTTAATCCTTACAGCTGCTATGTATGTAGTGATTCCTGCATGCATGTTTTGTAGCTGAAGCCACATATCCTTTATTATGTATTTGCTTTGTGGTGAGTGAAGGCATATGCCCTTCAAGCCCTCCAGAACCACAGCCATTACCTGGGGGCTTTATTTGTTTGGGGTTTTTTTCTTTCTGTGGTAAACCACACAATGTAGAAAGAGAAGGAAAATCAAAATCAACATCTATTTCCATGTCTTCTATTTTAGACACCAGCGCTTACATTTCCAGACTTGCAGCTGAACCTTTAGGAACTTTGGGTGATTGAGCAAGTGCCTACATAAGGCTCCTCTATTAATCTGTCCCATTGTTTTCTATGCACTTGTTAACTTGCTATCAAAAGACTAACATTAATTGCTCAGAGTGAGTTAAAAGATTTTACTTCTTCTTAACCAAGATGACTTGTTTTATATTTTTAGCTCTGAAAATTCTAATTCATATTTTGATATATCATCTCTAGCCTGATTTCTAACTGGACCAAATCCTCTTCAAATCTCTTAGGCCTTCAAACAGGTGTGGCTGAAAATGAAAACTTTTTTTTCTCCTTCCAAAGTACATCGAAGTACATCCCTAAATACAAGCAACGTTCTGCAGATCACAGTATCACAGTATCACAGTATGCTAGAGATTGGAAGGGACCTCGAAAGATCATCTAGTCCAATCCCCCTGCCGGAGCAGGAACACCTAGATAATGTTACACAGGAATGCGTCCAGGCAGGTTTTGAATGTCTCCAGGGAAGGAGACTCCACAACCTCCCTGGGCAGCCTGTTCCAGTGTTCCGTCACCCTCACTGAGAAGAAGTTTCTTCTCAAGTTTAAATGGAACCTCTTGTGTTCCAGTTTGTACCCATTACCCCTTGTCCTATCATTGTTTGCCACTGAGTAGAGCCTGGCTCCATTCTCGTGACACTCCCCCTTTATATATTTATATACACTAATAAGGTCACCCTTCAGTCTCCTCTTCTCCAAACTATAGAGACCCAGCTCCCTCAGTCTTTCCTCATAAGGGAGATGCTCCACTCCTTTAATCATCTTTGTTGCCCTGCACTGGACTCTCTCCAGCAGCTCCCTGTCCTTCTTGAACTGAGGGGCCGAGAACTGGACACAATATTCCAGACGGGGTCTCACCAGGGCAGAGTAGAGGGGAAGCAGGACCTCTCTCGACCTACTAACCACCCCCCTTCTAATACACCCCAGGATGCCATTGGCCTTCTTAGCCACAAGGGCACAGTGTTGGCTCATGGTCATCCTGTCGTCCACTAGGACCCCCAGGTCCCTCTCCCCTACACTGCTCTCTAACAGGTCATTCCCCAGCCTATACTGGAACCTGGGGTTGTTCCTGCCCAGATGCAGGACTCTACACTTTCCCTTGTTATATTTCATCAAGTTACTCCCTGCCCAACTCTCCAGCCTGTCCAGGTCTCGCTGGATGGCAGCACAGCCTTCTGGCGTGTCAGCCACTCCTCCCAGCTTAGTGTCATCAGCAAACTTGCTGATAGTACACTCAATTCCCTCATCTAAATCGTTGATGAATATATTAAATAATACCGGTCCCAGTACTGACCCTTGAGGCACTCCACTAGTTACAGGCCTCCAACTAGACTCCGCCCATAGACTACAACTCTCTGGCTTCTCTCCTTCAGCCAGTTCACAGTCCACCTCACTACCTGATCATCCAGACCACACTTCTTCAATTCAGCTGTGAGGATGCTGTGGGAGACTGTGTCAAATGCTTTGCTGAAGTCAAGGTAGACCACATCCACCGCTCTGCCATCATCCATCCACCATGTTATTTCCTCATAAAAGGCTAAGAGATTGATTAAGCATGATTTCCCCTTGGTGAAGCCATGTTGACTGCCCCTCATAACCCTCTTATCCTTGATATGCCTTAAGATGGCACCAAGGATAAGGTGTTCCATCACTTTCCCAGGGATGGAGGTGAGGCTGACCGGTCCATAGTTACCCGGGTCCTCCTTCTTGCCCTTTTTGAAGACAAGTGACATTTGCTTTCCTCCAGTCCTCAGGCACCTCTCCCGTTTCCCAAGACTTGGTAAAGATGATGGAGAGTGGTCTAGCAATGACTTCCGCCAGTTCCCTCAGCACCCGCGGGTGCATCCCATCCGGACCCATGGATTTATGGATGTCCAGATTGCTCAACTGGTCTCTAACCCATTCCTCATCGACTAAGGCAAACCGCTCCGTTGACCTGACTTCATCTAAGGTCTCAGGGGTACAGGGCTCTTCAGGACTGCCTGCAGCAGAGTAGACAGAGACAAAGAAGGCATTCAGTAATTCTGCCATCTCTGTATCTTCTGTCACCAGGGCACCCATCCCGTTCATCAGTGGGCCTACATTGCCTCTGGTGTTAGTTTTGTCTGCCATGTATTTGAAAAAGCTCTTTTTGCTGTCCTTGACCCTTCTCTCCAGGTTTAATTCTAAGGATGCCTTAGTCCTCCTAGCTGCCTTCCTACATCCTCTAGCAGCAGCCTTATATTCCTCCCAAGTGGCCAGCCCCTCCTTCCATGACCTGTAAACTCTCCTCTTCCACTTGAGCATACCCAGCATTTCCCTATTTAGCCACACAGGTCTCCTGGCCCTCTTCCTTGACTTCCTACGTGTCGGGATGCTCCAATCTTGAGCTCGGAAAAAGCAATCCTTGAATGCCAACCGTCTTGGGCCCCTTTACCTTCAAACAGCCTTGCCCATGGGATTTCCCCTAGCAATTGCTTGAAAAGGCCAAAGTTTGCCCTGCTAAAGTCCAGGGTTGCAATTCTACTTGCTATTCTACTGGTCCTACCACACAAGATCCTGAATTCCACCACCTCGTGGTCGTTGCAACCAAGGCAGCCCTCAACCCTTACTGCTTCGACCAGACCCTCCTTGTTAGTGAGGATGAGATCCAGCAGCGCTCCTCTCCTGGTTGGCTCATCCACCATTTGCAGGAGGAAGTTATCATCCATACACTGTTATCATCCATACACTGATCCTCCTCAGTTTTAGATTGGGGAGGGGAGAAATAGTAAGACAGGCAATATAACATAACACTGAAACAAAGCTGAGGAAGAATCCATTATCAATCCAAATGCAATCATCTGGATTTCTTCCTAACTAGAATTATATGTATTTGTGGATATATAGGAAAACCGCCTCCTAAGCATACATTCAGGAAAACTGACAGTACTTTCATTGACCTCCCACATCACCTTTTTTGTGGTGCACTGTCCTTTTCAGAATACATCTCTCTGCCTGGATTATGCAGTGATCAAACTGGGCTACAGAAGCACAGCACCACTGTAGTACTTCTGAATAGAGACTTGTCATATCCTGAAGGTTCTTAAGGGCTTTGGCCTGATAAAGCAAATAAGAAGCTAAAATACTTCTAAATATATAACAGAGAATGCAATCTTTTTCTCTGCTTTTTAACAGGCAGGATGCCTATGAGCTAGAGAGTAATTTTAAAGGAACCTGTAGAAGTGTATTTCAGATTTTATTGCGGTCTGAAAAATTCCATAGAAAGAAGGCCTTTATTGTGGTTTTGAGAGCTCTGCACCCCTTTTCTCTCACGTCTTTGCAGGAAAGACAATAAACGTGCTATTGGGGGCTCTCTTATATGGAAGGAATCCACGCAAAAGCACAGAAAAGTCTAGTTGTGGAAGAGAACAGAACATATCTGAAGTAAGATACACTTACGATTTCTTCTTGGCCAACTCTAAACATCTTGTGCTACTTCAATCTTTCTCTGCTTCCTCATTATTCCCAACCCCTTCTATTTCTGGAATACCTAGAGGCAAGAAGTACAACTGCAAAACCTGGCAGAATCCACAGATGAATCAGACTGAACCAGTAAACAATGACTAAAAGCTCAGTGTCTGAGGAACAAGCATATCACTGTGCTTCTTAAGCTAAACCGTTTAAATACAAACATGCTGCAAATCCTATATGTTAGCAGCATTCCCAGCCACAGTCTGGAGGGCAGGTACACTTTTGTACAGAAGGCCTTCCCAGGTCCCGGAAACTGGGTAGAGCATCTTCCAGTTCCCTGGAGAGCATAGGCCATTCATTGTATCTCGGAAATGGAAGGCTGAGGACAAGCTAATAGAGGTGCCATTCTTTCACTACTTGCCTGGATGTAGCACTCAACACCTCATTTAACTGGAACAAAAGGCTGCTGTTACTATTGAGCCACAGGCCCAGGCACAAGCCAGGATCAGGAAATCTGAGTTCCCAGCACCTGGCCCAAGATTTGCATCAGAAAGTGGATTCCATTCATTCACACTTACATTGCATAAGTCCTGGTTATTGACAAAAGAAAGATAGCAGATTTAATCCTTAGTAGCAATTATTAAACTAGCATCACTGGAACTATTATACTTTATATCTCTTCACATGGAGCATACAAATAATTACTTCAAAAGGATTAAATGTCATATTTCATGGGACTGGCTGCATAAATATTTACAAAGCTAGAGAACACCAAAGAGTTACTGATTCATGTCAAATATTGAGAAGCTGGGTTAATCAAGGGATTTAAGCAATGCTTTAAACCTTTGAGTCAGCATTATTGAGACTTATTTGAACTACTCTTACCTCTCAACATCCAAAGTTTTACAAACCATTTATAACAATAATGATTTACAGGCTATTTTCCCATCTGCTTGTCTGGGAACATTTCAGTCACTAGTGCAAACTCAGAGTAGGCTGGAGAAGTAATAACAGCTGTGGAAAGTGAATCATTCAACAAGAATAAAGTTCGCATTTCAGTTAAAAAAATAAAAGAAAGAAAAGTTCTAATTATTTTTTTTGTAGGAAATGTTTTAATTATTTTTTTATGTGCTTAAATGAAAAAGAGATACTTGAGGTGCTGAGAACTGCATGCCTTGTTCAAGAAATGACTAGCACCTCCTGCTCTGTATTCTGTATGTAGTATATGTGAAATGCATATGTCTGATCTATGTGTTTGTGTCTGTTGCTATGTTCATGCACCTGCAGATTGGCTGAGATTTTAAAAACATAGTGACAGCATTAGTAAAGCTTTGTTTTCAGAAAAAAAGCTGACTTGGTCATTCTCAGAAAGTCAAGGTCATTTTAGGACTCCCCCAAACAAATAATCTAATAAAATAAAGCCAAATCATTAGTCATTTCTGAAACTCTAGAGTACATGGTAGGAGTTCAATAGGTCAGAGCTGTGTGTGCTCCTTTACTCTCTTACAAACGCAGATTTACAGCCTTCAGAATGACTGCAATTAGCTCATAGTAACATGTATTTAGCAGCTTCCCTAAGCATGTTTTTTTGTTATGTGTTGACATGAATCTTCCAACAGTCTAAATTGAATTTTCCTTGTCAGCAGCTGCTTGTTGTGCTAGATCACACCTAGGTCAGCAGGAAGGTGACAAGAGACAAATCTATACCCTTCCTATAACTAGATTGTAACAAAGTGGTACATTAACCAAGCTGTATGCCTAATTTCAGTTACTTACAGTAGATTTTTCTGTGATTTAGCCCCATAATTTCTTGAGGAACAATTATTTCTGTTTTGGGGAATGCCTTGTCAAAGACAAATCCTGACACTTTTACTACAGCCTTGACTAGAATACCATTTCTGTAGGTCCAAAAACTCACACTGTTTCAGATCAGTGTACGTACTCCAAGAGAAGCGGGACCCAGACCAGCTACATGCTGGATTCAAGCAGGTGCTGGGTGTAAGACAGACAGCTCAACAGCTGTTTGTAGTGCTTACTGTCCCTCTTGCCAGGAAGGAGCAATCTTTTCTTTCTGTACAGGAAAGGCAGTTTCCCTACAAGAAACCTTCATAGTCCTTTAGCAAGCAGCAGGACAATTCTGCCAACACCTTGCCTTGCTCAGGTGCACCAATCTAGTCATCACATTTACTCAGCTCCAACTCCCATAAAATTTCAGCAAAACCAAGCATATTCAGATGGGAGCTTCTTAGTGGAGTAAAGACCAATGATAATCACTAACATACAACAATATTACTTCCATTTTTTTTCCAGTGCAACTTCCATTTATCACAGTTTGATATGCATCTGTGTAACACTGATATTTCTACACCAGCACTATTTCTGAGGGATTATAAAGGATTTGCAAAACAAAAAGAACCTTCACTCACAAATGCTAGCCCAGTGCAAATGGATGGAGAACAAAATGCAGCCCAGCAGACAGAGCATAGTAGATGTTTCTCAGCTCACAGCAAAGCCATGCAACAGTTGAAGAACATACATAAAAATGAAGGAGATATTCAAGCAAAACTTAGGTAATTAAGAAAAAAAACCCTAGCTAGATCTAGATTAAAGTTCAGGAACTAGAATTCAGTTATCACTTCTGCTGCTCTAGCTGCTCTCATTAAAAACAGCATGACTTCTTTGAATCAGGCTTTGGGCTACACAGCCCTTGAGACCTGCAGCACTTCTGTGACTCCCTCAATCAACTTTAAGCACCAACAGTTTTCTCCTCTATTCTCATTCTTTCAATGGAAGGCTTTTGTCCCACTATTGACAGTTCTAAGGGGTAAATCTAACCTTTCAGAAAAGTAATATAATCTATGCAACTGCAGCTTGCTTTTTTTTCTAAATGATTTTCAAGGACAAAATGAGTACATTGTACCCTGAAATGCACCTCAACTTCCCATTTGAAGACCTCAAACCAAATGATTTACGTGAATCAATATTAACAGATAGAGCAATTCACAGCATGATGTAATCTAAAACTGATAAAGAACTGCACTGAAATACTGTTAAGTTGTCATGAATTTGATACAAGAGAGCACAGGCTGAATTCTAGCATTCAAGCATTGCAAAAGTGGTGTTCCAGCGGTAGCTGCCTTTTGTTTTGAGATTGTAACTGTTACAAATAGGTCTCTCCCTCTCACGTTCCTCCAGCTTTAAAACATTTTGGATGTGCTCCCCAGTTGCACGCAAAGTCACAGGTTCTCCGAACATCTCTTGTCCCTCTTTATGCTGTTGCATTTGTTAGGATTGAGCAACAAGTTTTACATAATAACCCTTTTCTTTGAATATAAACTGGATGATGAATTCAGACCTAGGTTTAAATTTCAGGAGTGAATGGTTCATTAGTTGTCACCTTTGTTGGTATCCTCACTAGAAACCTCAGTAAATGAAAGGCTAAAGTGGTGTGCAGAATGAGATAATCTTGGTATACTAGTGAAGCCTCAAAACCTACAACAAAGCTTCCCTATGCGCTTTCTGTGCCTATACAACAGTCTGTGATTTTGATCTGTTAATCCAGCATCTTCCATAAGCGGTAAAATGTCTTCATAGGAAAAAAAAATCACTCCAAAGTTACAAGTTACTAAATTTAGGAATATTAGGGAATATACACTCAGTCATCTCCCACACTGAGAAGAAAGCTCCTTGGGAGTTAGATTAGAAATCACTGCAGTTCTTAGCTAAAGCAGTAAGCAGAGAGCAGGGGGATTAACAAATGAATAGCAAGTGAACCCACAAGCTATTTTTTTCTTTGCAGACATAATTTAGACTTCTGTCTGAAAGACAACCTACCTTTCATTGTATATTATTACTCTGAAGCATAAGGCAACAAAGGTGATCCCAGGAAACCAGATACAGAGGTGAAAGAAGGACTTACTCTTCCTGTGTCATCAGAACACAGGAGAGAGTGGAGTGACCTAACACGACTGATAAAATTAGTAAGAGGACTCACTTTATTTTTCTGCTACGCAGTAGTTTAGAAACTAAAATAGATCTATGGCTTAAAGCTATTCTTTCACTGTCATCATTAAAAGTGTTGACTTAGAAGAACAGCTAAGGTTATAAGTAGACCCAATGACTCTAACAGGACTGCTAAAAGTGCATATATACTCTCCTGGGTAGTAGCTGTGCAACTGGCCTCTCTGAAAGCTCCCACAAAGGAGGCCTTTAGAAAGGCCTTTCTAAACTCTACAGCTTGTGCCAGGTTTTGGTCAGCCCAGCTCAAGGTGGATGATCATCAAAATCTCTCACCAGTTGTGAGAATTAGCTTAGGAGATAAGATGTAATTCCAAGGCCAATGTTTTCCAATACATTTAAGAATTTCTAATAACATCACTTGCTGCTGCTGCACCAGAATCCTTTTTCAGACTGTGAACTATTTGAACAACCTACCAACTCCACGCCTCCCACAGAGGTGTCCAAGAACTACCGCTTGGTTTAATTCTTTTTAGCAAGTAAAACTTAGTAAGCTTAGAGCTTCTATCGTTGTGAATGTGACCAGAAAGATCCACTGGCCTAGGATTTACATGTCCTTAAATCTCTTTCCTGGGTCACCTGCTTTCCTCAGCCTTCATAACTTAAAATGACAATAGATATCACAGAAAAAAAGTAGATAACCCCTGGACTTACACATTGGCCTTCGCATTAAGTCTTTCCTGCTTAACTTCCCTTCCCAATGTAGAGAAGACACTCATCAGGGAAGTACAGAAAAGACTGCTCAGTTCATTGATAAGGGATCTAACCTTTTAGTCATTCTTTAATTTCATTCATTCTTTAACTCCACTGAAGTCAATGGCATTGCATGAGTGACCAAAAGCATGGTCTTGCCTCTTCAAGTTACTGTATTGTGTCTAAGTCTAAAAGCATAGAGGAGACACACAGCTATGCTGAAACCAAAAAGACTGAACATGGGTTATGGCTGACTGGGGCAAGCTAATCTGTACATTCAGCTCACGTACACGGGGGGTATGTATCCATTATAGCCTTGGAATTCTTTGTAGAGTGAGGGGAGATCCTTCGGCATCCCAGCACATGAAGATGGAAGCTTATAGCTTAAGATATCAAATCTGCTTAAGCAGATTCTGCAACCAAAAAGAATCTTTAAAAATGTCAACTATAAACCAGAAAAAAAATAGTTGTAATATTGTTATTTTTCCATAGGACTAAGGGAGTAGAAGTACCACTATACAGTTTGGGATTAACCAAACTTCTGTGAAAACTTTTTACCCATAAATTAGATCTTTGAAAATTATTTGGTGTGTTTTGTCTACCATAGTCCAAACATTAGCAATTATGGATTATTTTTTTTTTTTTTAACTAAACCAGAATTTTATGTCACTGTATGGCAGGCTTAAAGCAAAACTTTGCTGATACACAGCACCTGCTGGGCTGACTTAAAATATTCGTTATGTATAAATCAGGAACTGCCTATCTGGTGGTATCAACTACCACTAACTAATTAAACAAATGCAAATCATGCTGTAATCTACAGTGCAAAACAGTCTTTGTATCTTCCGGTGCAGTTATGTTGTGTCAGGATCCTTGTTTAATAAGTATATTATTTTTCTAACATGCTCCTCTCTCAAACCTCAAGGTAAGCTTCAAACACAAAGTTATCTTTCATTTTCCACATCAAAATAATGTATGAATTTCATATTTCAATTTGTATTTCTAAGAGAGCTTCCCATTTCAGCAGCTGTCTTGCTCTGGATCTCACAGTTTCTGTTTGATGATCAGTCTCTGCCCTGAGGCCCTCTCACATGTGTTTTGAACTATCCAACTCTTCCATGCCTACCAACTGCTCCTTTATCAATTACAGCCTTAGTATGTTCAAAGAAACCTCACAGGTCACTTAAGCATGGCCTTCTCACCCAAGCCTGTGAAAACTACCTTTAAACAAGCTTGCTGGTTTTAACATATACTTTCAGATGACTTCTAAGGTCCTGTATTATGGCGTGGATAAGTCACTGATGTGGAATAAGGCAATACAGAAGGCAGGAGCTGAAAACCTGGGAAATAGCCTCTACAGCTGTGGATGTGACATGAAGGACACATTGGCCTAGGATTCACAAGTCCTTAAAATTCTTTCCTGGGTCACCTGCCTTCCTCAGCCTTTGTAACTCTCAGAACCTACCCTACAGTGCTTTCCTGTTGATCCTTAGATCTGTTACTATCAGAAGTAGTACTTACTACGATTACAAATAATGTTCACTTGTGTTATTTCTGTCAATGAGTCATCATTCTCTTTTCCTTTCTTAATACCAGGCTTGAGTTCACAGACCTGCCCTCACTTCCCTTTCTGCCCTCTGTCTGGCAGTTCTCAAGGATTTTAGATAGCATTTCTGTGCTTGTGATTCTCATATTTCCCCCTCTGTCATCAACCTTTCTGCCTCTGCCTGGCATCTCTTCCTGGAGATTTTGTCATCAATATATGCTTGCTGAGGTACAAGGTTGTGTTGGTTTAGCTTCACTTTCCCTTTTCTCCTTCACTACTGGCAGCAATAACATACCCCATTTCCACTATCCCCCCTCCCTTTCCCATGAGTCACACACATATCCTGGGCCTTCATTCTACCCCTCCAGCTTCAAGACCAATCATCGTTTTCATAGGCAAATCTGCTGTTTAGGCCTCTTTGGTATACCCTACCACAACTACTGCAAAGTTCTTTTCTCTATACTCCAAACATAAAATGCTCCTTTGCAACCTGAGGAAGATCAAACACCTCTCACAAACCTGACCACGTCACTTACTCCTTAGCAGCCCTCCACTTGTTTTTCACCTACTGTCCTACTTCAAGGCCCAACCTAACTGCATTCCCCCAGTCTACTCCTCTTCTGTTGAGACCCGTGTTGTCCCCACCACTTCTGCACTCCAGCAGTATTTCTCAACCACATACCCTTCAATCATTTCTCCACCTCATCCTCTTACGGTGACACAACCTCCCATGATTCATCGACAAAGGCTCGGCTTTCCAGGCTCTTTCATAAGCCCACTCATCCTCAGATGGTGTCAGCAAATAAAACACAGAACATGTCTACATACCTCTGTTACTTCCCTTCCACGCCACCATCTCCCTGATGCTCTTCAAGCTACTTGCAAGGCAGGAACAGGTTTTCTGTAGATGTGAAACTGCTCTTGGCACTCCTTATGAACTAATAAGAATAAAAAAGAATAAACAACATGAACACAAATCACAAACCCCTACCTACCAAGTCAGGTTTTAGGGAAGAAACAAGTGAACAGTAGGAAAAATGGAAGAAAAGATGGATAAAAAGAGCAGGTGTGTGGGACCACATAAAAGCACGATGCAGTAGGCCATTCAAACCCCATCCCTGCTCATGGTGGGAGGAATTTGTGTCTAGGGGGATGCTGAATTTTGCCCTTCAGTGAATCCAGTCCAGGAAGGACGACAACAGCCATGACTGACTTCAACAGTGCTAGACAGGGCTACTCCAAGCAGGGCACCACGGGCAAACCCAGCGCTTCCCGACGGGGATCTTAACTCGGTGCGACCATCGCGCCGCTGAGAGGAAGAGGCCGGTTACTCAGGACGTAAGCGGAGGGCGCCCTTGCTCCAGCCAGGGGTACTGGAGCAAGGGAGCCCAGTCCCGGCACCGGTACGGAAGTACTCGAGCTGGCGGCCGAGGGGCCGCTGGGGTCGGGGAGGCGGCGCCGCCGGCGCTAGGACCTGTGGAGCTGCGGCGGGGCGGGAGCAGCGCGCCTGCGCGGCGCTGCCCGGAGAGCGGGCGAGCTGCACCGAGCCCCCCGCCGGCAGCGCGCTCCACCCGGCCGCAGGGGCGGAGGCGGCTCGGCGGGAGGGCGGTGCGCGGCGCTGTCCGTTCAGCACCGGCGGGAGCTCCCGCCCTGCTCCGCCCCGCCCCGCACCGCCCGGGAGGGCGCGGGCACAGCCCCGCCGTACCCCCGCGGCGGCTGCAGCGGCACCCGCGCCCCGAGCATCTGCGGGCAGCGCCGGCGCCGCGATTTTCCTCCCTTTTTATTTTTCCGTGTTTTTTTCCCCCTGTGCTGTTGGCCACGTCCAACCAGGGAAGGGCCCTCCCCCTCCGGCACGTCCCCGCGCCCCGGCACCGCAGCGCCCGCGCTCCCGGAGCATGGCCCCCCCTGCCCCTGCCCCTCCGCCGCGGCTGCTGCAGCTGCCGCGGCCCCCGAGCGCCTGACTTCAGACGACGGCGGTGCAGCACCGGGAGCCGCCGTCAGCGGCTGCCCCTCGGAGCGGCTACAGGAGAGCCGAGCTCGCGAGCCTGGATCGGGGCTCGGCTTAGGCAGTGACTGCCGCCGAGCAGCCGTCCCCTTACGGGCTTGCTGCCTGCCGTGCTTGCTTGGATGATTCTGCGACATGCCTAATAAGAGACGAGATGGGCCAGGGCGACGAGAGCGACCGCATTGTGATCAACGTGGGAGGGACTAGGCACCAGACCTACCGCAGCACCCTACGCACCCTGCCCGGCACGCGGCTGGCCTGGATCGCTGAACCCGATGCCCACAGCCACTTCGACTATGACCCCCGCACGGATGAGTTTTTCTTTGACCGGCACCCAGGCGTCTTTGCCCACATCCTGAATTACTACCGCACTGGCAAGCTGCACTGCCCCGCGGACGTGTGCGGGCCCCTGTATGAGGAGGAGCTGGCCTTCTGGGGCATTGATGAAACCGATGTGGAGCCCTGCTGTTGGATGACCTACCGGCAGCACCGTGACGCCGAAGAGGCTCTGGACAGCTTTGGTGGGGCACCCCTGGATAGCAGTGCTGAGGACGGAGACATAGATGGCACCGGAGACTCTGGTGATGGTGAAGAGGAGCTGGAGATGACAAAACGCCTAGCACTTAGTGACTCCCCAGATGGCAGGTCTGGGGGCTTCTGGAGACGGTGGCAGCCCCGCATTTGGGCACTCTTTGAGGATCCCTACTCCTCCAGATATGCAAGGGTAAGCTATGCAATCAGCATGCTCATCAAAACACTCGAACCTCCCTTCACCCCCACTTCCTCCCAGCATCATCAGGGTTATCTCTGCTGTCACAGCTGAGCAGCCATCCATGTGTGTGGCCATATATAAATCAGGCATGGGTCATGGGGACATAACCCATGCTCTCAAGCAGGCCCCATGCATGCGGCACGAGTGGACACCAAGGCGTGAACTCGTACACATATGTGGGCTTCAGGAGAGCCTTATTTTCTAACAGGCTCCTAAAAATCCAAAAAGCCAGGGGCAGGGTCCCATTCATGGACCAGGGAAATCTCCATTACACCAGGTAATTTCCCTCCCTGCACAGATTTTTACAGTCAGTCATCCCCCAGTAAAGACAGACACCTTGTCTCCCCTTTACAAGATGGAGAAAGGATCATGGGAGCAGGCATCCCCTGGGCAACCAGGGGATTTGGAGAGTTTCTCAGCCTGGACTGGAAAGGGAGCCTGTTCCTTTCTCTTTTCTCATACATACCAAGTTAAATATTTATGATCATGCTTCTCTGAGAATGGGTAATTCAGTTGTTCACTTTCCTCCTCACTCTTTTCCCTTGTGGGAAATGCAGAGTATTAATCAGAGGAGGAGGTTCATTCATGTAGAAGGGACACTGTGTTTGACGGTTTCTTGCCTGGCTACTGAAGGACAACTCCTCCCCTCCTCAGCCTGCAGTTGTTTTGGAAAGTGAATGCACACTGGTGCAGTTCACAGCATAGCTGTGGGTAAAGATGGTCTTTAACAGTCACCCAACTCCTGTAAGTAGGTACCTGTCATGCTATTACATATGAGGAAAATTACATTAATTAGGGCCCGATTCTGCTTCTGAAGTCTAAAGTAAAGCAAACCTTTACTTCGGGAACAGCAGCAGGATTCACCCCCAAGGTAACCATATTGATAAGCAAGAAAACAGATAGGATAGTGCCTTTGCGAAGAAATTGGTTTGTGTAGATTTTACTCCTCTTTTAAACATACCTTTGTTATGGCATAACTGCTGCCAGACCTCAGTAGGGATGAGTGATGCTTCGGTGTGGGAGGATGATCAGTGTTCCTGAGGAGTATCAAAGAAGTGAGATCAGATTAGGGAGCAAATTGGACAGACAGAGGAAAGAGAAGTGGAAATGCAGAGAGCAAGGACAGGGGAGCTGGTTGTGTATGAATGGGTGGTGGAATAGCACTGCTGGAGGTTTGAGGTCTGAGCAGAGATCTTCAGCTGGGAGCCGCTAGGTCTGCACAATGAATGAATGGGGAAAGCTGGACCAGAGCCTGGAGTTATATCTTGGTGCATTTCTACAGATTCTTGTTTGCATACCCTTTGGAGACTTCCTCCCTGAACAAAGAAGTTAATATTTTAAATGAATTCCTTTAAACAGCATAGGGGATAAAAGAATAATAAAATATTTACCATGAGATGAAAGGTTGATGCTGTTGAATTGCAGCTTTCAAATCCCTGATTTCTGCCAAGGGAGCATGGAAACTGAGGGAAGGCTGGAGGGTATCCTTCAAAAGGCTTAGTTAGCTTCCTTTAATCAAGCCCAATGTTAGCAGGCATTGATTTGAATAGCAGATCTCTGGTGTCCAGGAATCTGTTGGTAAAACACATTTCAAGTCAAAGCAGTGTGCTTTTCCAGGATTTTCTGAAATGGTCCAAAAGGCAAAGGGATAATGTTGTGCCAATGAAAAGAACACAGAGGCTAAAAACCCTTCTGCTTGGAAGCACTGTGGAATTTTAGGTTGGAGGATAAAATCTATAACCAATATTAAGAGTCTTTGTGATGTACAAGCTGGAATTCTAGGAGGATATAAAATCCATTTGCTAATTCTTTATGGGTATTTTCATTTAGGAGCAGGCATTTTATAAAGTGATTTGGTTTGTGTTTTTTTTCTCACAGTGGATGTTACACTGTTTATTCACAATTACATGTGTGTACCTGGTAGAATTCAACCCTTGATTTACCTTTAACTTGTTCTTTCCTTAAAGTATCATTAAACTAGAGAAATATGAATTCTGGTCAAAGTTGAAGTGTATTCTGAATATTTCATGGCTTAAATATGATTCTTTAACTTGTATCTATGGAGACGTAGGCCTATATGCATTAATATTTTGCATGAAGGAAGATGGCTTTCATCATCAACACATGCATATACTGTCCATTAAGAAGACATTATAAGACGCTTAACATTTTCTAATAAAAGCCATATGTTATGGTTATGGATGTAAAAAGAGATGGGAGGTTGATTTATGCTCCTGTAACCTAACAGAGACATTGCAAAAAGACCTCAAACTCAAAGTAGCTGATTTACAGTAAAATAATTGATTGTATCGTTAATAAGTGCATGGTAAATTGAAGCAATCATAAGTAGAATCCCTGTTATCTCACTTTTAATTGTCTACACTACATTCAATTACAAACTGTATTTCAGTCATGCAAAAATTTAAATTCACATTGCCATTTTGTCAAAAAAATCACAAAAATTTGTCATCCTAATTGTATCTGAGTCTTGACCTAATGATGGTTACTGTATACATGTTTGGTGTCTACATATAGCACCAAACTGCATGTCAACGTAACATCTTAATACAAGCATCAGTTTACATAACCATCATACTGTTACTCTTGGGCAAGTAAAAGGAATACAGTGTATGAATATTAAGATGAGATGAAAACCTGCATACCTGAATAAAGCAAGATTTCTCTGGACTATGTCTCATACACTGTTTCAGTGAATGCTTAGGAACCGTCTGTGGAAAGCTCAACGTTTAATCAACTATAGTAATTCTTGGAGTGTTCTGATGGACACTGCTTACAAATACAAGTACCTTTGACTGTTTTGCTTCACTAGCACCTAACCCATGCTAAATTATATCTGATCTCATTGTAGATGGGCAGGGAAGACTAAAGAGCATTTGTGTATTTCAGGCAAAATCAGCTAATTCTGCAAATCTTGTCTATTTCTAAACTTACTTTGATAAAGCATAAGCTCCCAGTCACTAGTTGTTTGTCTTTAGGTGCAACATAGTCAACAGTCTCTTGTTAAAACAATAGTGGCTGATTCTAATTAAATTCTATTTTTCTAAACACTAATTTCTTAAATAAGGTAGTTCTTTTTTAAAAAGATGAGACACTTTAAAAAATTGCATTGTCTTCTAAGTCTAATAGAAAAAGTGGCTTATTTCAAATCTAAGGTTGCCTTAGACATTTACCTTAGTAAGATAAACAGGTGTCACACTTCTCTGTAACTTAAAGGATCCACATTTGGATAAATGGAGGCAAAGTCTGGTACCTGGAGGTCTGAACAGAGTAACAGATAAGGTGATGCAGATTTGCAGAGATACTGGGTGCATACATAAATAGACAGGCATCCAGGTGGATCTTCAAAAGCACCTGATCGGGCAGCTAAATATCACCGCATGTCAATGGATATTGTGTACCTAAACTGGCGAGATGTTTCTGTAAAGCTTTTTAGAGCTGTCATTTTTGCATCGTCAGGGAACATTGTAAATTTATTTTTTGTAAGTAGATGCAAGGGGGGAAAGAGTCACACAGAAAGCTACAGAGATACACTGAAACAGCATATCTGAGAGTTACGTTGTAATAAAGCTCCTGCTTTCTGCACTCATTGGACTTCATAGGTCCCTCAGTTCACAAATGTGTGAAAAATATTTCTTAGCATCCTCTCTCATTTATATTTAAGTCTGTCA